GAAAATGTAGGCAAAATTACTACGCGGAGTGAAAATGGAAACGCTAACCACAGAGTGACTGCCCCGCTCAGATTCCCCGGTCAGGGAGGCGAAGACCGGGATTTCTAGCGTATCCCCCGCCTACCGGGGAATAAAAATGGAGTGATTATGAAGTCAAAGGCCCCTCACTGACCCCGGTCAAAAAATGAATACCCCGCTAAACCGCGAGGGGACTTCAAATGACTGGTGCAGAAATCCGATTTCAATTAAGTCACGCAAAAACGACAAACGAAATTCAGATCTGTTTTTCAATAACAAGCCATACAAAAACGAAAAACGAAATTCAAATCCTCTATCCAAAGTGATGCGAAAACGAAAAACGAAATTCATATCCGTTTGTCAAAGTGATGAGAAAACGAAAAACGAAATTTTTATCCGTTTTTCAAAGTGATGAGAGAACGAAGAACAAAAAGCAAAATTCAAATCTGTTTTCAATGTCATGCAAAAACGAAAAACGAAAAATGGAAATGGAATTTGAATGCCATTTTCCCATGCCATCGAAAAATGGTTGGCACTAAGGTGCACGCATTGTAACGCTACACAACATAGGCGATCCATAAAAACTGAACTTTGAACCAAAATAAGTGTACGGTTTATGTCAAGCTACATTTTATAAAAGTCCGTGAGAATAAACCAGCGTATTATTTGCCTGAAACCTGTCCACGATAAAGTTAAGAGGACGCGAGCGTTGGAGTGAGTGAAAGAGTGCATTTCAAATAAGAGTTCAATACTAAACTGGTTCATAAAGCTTTGCGAGCGTATCAAATCATTTTCAATCTTTGCTTCCGTCGTGTATAAAATGTTTTACTACCAAGGAAAAACAAACCGTGTCACACTTTCTAGAAAAACTCTTAATAACTAAAGCAATTTATCAATTAAATGAATACAACAAAGTCTAGCTGAATACAAATTTAGCCAAAACACCGACTTTATTTGCCGTAGAGTTCCAGGAATTGCTTGAAATATTCTGTGAAACGTATCGCTTCAATTCACGGGAATTTTTTACCTTCACTTGCATTCATACTCTTCGCTTGCAAAAACTTGGCTTTCTATACGAAACAGGATTTCTCCCGGGCTTTTCATTTTTAAACAGGAAATGGCTCAGAAGAGAAGTTCCAGTTTTGAGACGCATTGCTGATGAAACCTGGCGCCGACGTATAGCTCAATGCCTTCACAGAACAAATAAACAAGCTGTTAGAGGATACCCGAAGTAACCTTACAGAGTAACATCGATAATGTTGAAGAAGTACAACATGCAGAACAAAAATAGCACAGGAATCGTGGCATTCAAAGAGAAGGATTTGACATAAAAAACAGTAAAGAGGAAACTTGGTCACGTGGTACAAATTCGTTTGCCGTTTGACGTAAACGTGATGCTTAACCTCTCTATTCAGTTTCATGAAAACAACACCTCATCCTTGCTGCAGCGATTTGAAAGGATCTGAAAGTTTAGCTGAGAATTGACCCAGAATGAGGCGGGGCTTTTGCAGAAATAAATTTCTCTTGCGGAACCAATCAGATCGCTGGGGAAAAGTCCCAAGTACATGTTTACACAACGACTTGGCTTATTCTAGGTTACACAGCTTCCGACTTTCTGATTTCTATCCACTATTACCAAAGCAAAATAATTTTCCTGAAAATAATTCAAGATGTTATTACAATGTCACCAACATATCTTCATAAACGAGGAATTCTAACTCGGGGCTCCAGTGCTAACACTTATCTTTCTTTGCCGAAATCGATACCTGGTCTTTAGCCTTGGCTCATGGCTATCTTCACCCCACCCTACCCCGTCCCCGTCACTCCCACTAGGAAAATTTTAGGGAAACCATTCTCGTTTTCAAGGACAGTAAGCCATAAGTCAGCTGATAAGTAAGACACCAGATATTTTCGGATAATCTTTGCGTAGAGTGCTAAAGAAAACTATCAAACTATTGCAGATTTACATATGCTGTTTTATGAGTTGTAAAAAACAGTTCCTAGAACCATTCAATTCAATCATTTTCTTAGAAACAGTTGAAGTGATGAATGATTACTCACACACAAGAAATGTTAAATCTTCACTGGAATGTTAGTGAGATACTGAAATTTGTTGATCGACATCGACATCGTTTTTATTTCACAAGAAAAAATATGCTAGTTTGTGACAGACATGATCAGAGGATTTTTAAGGAGCGCTGCAGTAAGACTGTAAAGATTGTCAGGCTCTGTGTCGTCCTCGCCACAGGGAATGCAAACAATGCACAACAATCTTAAAAATATGGTAACAAAATGCACTTAAGTTGAGTGTCAATGTATTTACCACGAACGTACTAATTGGAGACACTATTTTTACGTCTCCTACTGAAGACGGGACCGCCATTTTACGTGTTCGTCCGAGCCACGCGAAGGTCTAGCCGCTTGCAGAGCAAAGGGAGTATCTTCATTTCTCAGTTATTTTTTAAGACCCTCAGTATTGGCAGACTTAAATTTGGGTCAATTAAGAGGCTAGAAATGGACGACATGGAGAATGATCGCCGTAAATCGAAATTCCAAGGAGGAAGGAAGTCCTAAATAACGATTAAATTAGAGTAACACATAGCTGACCGCGAAAAAATATCATGAATTGATCTGGGCTTAGCAAACATACCTTTTGAGTGATGCGTGTATGTGTTAAATTCTTACAACCAATGCCAATAGTAACCTTTCTGTTCTTTAAGCGCAGGTCTTTAACTTCCCTGAAATAAATCAAAGAAAGCAAACTGACCAAAAACTACCCTCTATCTGTTTCTTTAGCTTGTGATAAAGAAGGATAAAATTATTTAGACAAACCTGTTAGTACTGTTAGTGTGCTGCTCAATGATTCAGCTTTGGCCTTCTGGGAACTGCACTGAGTATAACCCACGCGTGTCCTAAATAAATTTCATTCGGAGAACCAATCATAACGCTAAGCTTTCTGTTTACAGAAAGACTTGCCTTTTCATTGGCTGATTCTGATGTTTGCCTCAAAGGTATTTTCCCCGTTTGATTGGATTAAGCTCAAAGAACTTAAGCTGGGCCCGGAAGTGTGTCGCTGCAATGTCTGTGCTAGTTAGATTATTCAGTTATTTTTAAATGGAATAGGTATTCAATTTTTAATTTAATTTAGTTTGTATATAATTTTTATTATGCACGTACATAGCCTTCTTTAGGCTCAATGATGTCATATGTTTAAATAAAGATTGACTGATTGATTGATTGATTGAAAGTTCCGGTTAAATTTTCTTGGAAGAATTAAGGGATTTTCCCAAAGGGGGGAATTTCATGTATCCCAAGATGCATCGCTTTATACTATATTATCAAGCCTCTGAACGCACGTGATCGCATTAGTCTAACAGGGACGCGACAGTCAAACAACAGTGGAAAGAGCTGTGGAAAGGGACGTGTTTCGCCGTCTCAGTGTTCAATAACTATAATTCATCGACGCAGTGAATTGATCAACCATACGGTGACCGCACATGCTTTTACTTCAACAAGCTCGGCTTATGCATTCGAAAATACCGAGACCGTTAAAGTACAAAGTGACGTCTATCGGAGATAAATTCAAAGGAAGGGAATAGCTTGAATAAAAACAATAAAAATATTAAACAAAGACATCTCTATATTTTTCTCAACACAACACCACAGGTGGTCTAAGCTCGAAATATGAGCATAGGCGAACATCTGCATTGTTTCGTAACATTCGAAATATGAGGATTTGTATGAGAAAAAAGGGATCATGTTTACTGTAGGTAGTGTCGACCGATCTATCGGTCGATATAGCGATCGATAGTCGGTCGACAGTCGGTCGATATAGCGGGCGATAGTCGGTCGAGACTCGGTCGATAGTCGGTCGAACGTGGGTTAGACTACCGGCCGAGTATCGGTCGATATTTCGACGACGCACCTCGACCGACTATCGGTCATATGTTGGTGATATATCTGTCAACTTTCGGTGGTATATCGGTCAACTGTCGGTCAAATATCAGTCGTGTGCTAATTTAGCAGGTAAGTCCAATGTCTTTCTTTTTAAGCAATGACGTAATTAATTACTGTTATCATGCGATGGAGGAACATGTGGCAGTGCGAGGCGCGATTACTCTATGAAGCGAACCGAAGAGCACTGGGAACTAGCGAGAAACCAAACCGGCAATGATACCAAAAGCAGAGTGATATTGAGCTTCAAATATATCTAGCCGAATTTTTGCCGAAAACATACCTCAAAACGGACCAGAATATCCTCACAGGAACCTGGCGATAGCCAGGTTTCTGGTCACTGTGGATAAGAACAACATAGGGGGCTTGCTGTCCTGGTTGGTCTCATTGTGAAGCTCAGTCCCTGAGCTAACTCGCCATGGGTTGGGAAGGGGCCTCCACGTCAATCCCTAGGGGGGGAGGGTGCTGCCAAAGCGTGGTACTGTCCGTCAGTCTTGCTATGGGAGAGTCGGTGCACTCGTCATGTCTGCCTTTAGTTTGTCATGTCAAATTCTTTTAATGTTTGAGGCCCATTGGCCAATGAAAGCATTTCCCTCGAGCACGTGCTAGGCTGGGGGGGCGAGGAAGTCAGGGGGATGATTTAACCTTGAATTCTGGGCTTAGAACTTGGTTAATTCTCAAGCATCCTCTGTCATGTAGGGCCTTCAAACAGCTAGAGTGTATGGCTAACTCCAGAGTGTCTATGTTTCTTTTGCTAATCAGGAACCAAGAAGAGAGTCACCTTAAGAGCGAATGCACAGAAAAATCGAGCAAACCGTGGCCACAGCTCAAAACCTAACCTACCCTCATTTTAAGTCTGTAATAAGGTTTTAATGAGTTTATAACACTGCTGAGGTTTAAATTTCAAAATGCGGCCGAATTTGGGAATTATTTGAGATTTTCGATTTCAACAGTCTGTGGGCCTAAAATTAGCCGCCGAACACGGCAATATAGCCTAGCGACAGAGATGAGCTGACTTTCATAAACGAGCGAATATATTGGCAATCTTCCACTTAAATCTCAAAAAACAGCACATTTTCTTAGATTTAGAGAATAACATATCGACAAACGAGCACAATTTTGAAACGTAATTTGCATAATGCTTATAAATACAACAATTTACCGCTAAAACCAAAATCGAATTTTCTATATGGGGGAATTCTCCAAATCACCCCAAATCCCGCTTACTACCCAATGAGATATAGTACTTCAACATTATCAGAGAGTTAGTCTGGTGTTCTTGCGAACGCTTGTAAAATAGATTGATTATTTTGAGGTTATTTTGCCCCAAACCACCGCAGTTGACACGTGCACGTCACCTTAGTTTTATGCATCGATTTGAGCTCGTTAAAAGGGAGAAACTAACAAGATTCTTTTAATATGTACCTGTTTTAATGAAATACACGCAATCTTCAAAAGGAGAGGCCGTTCAATGGGTAATTTCTGTTCTTGAGATCTTGTAGATTGCAGCATGGCGTCTGCGTGTGGATCTGAGTCTAGGTCTGTTTTCCCGTGACTGCGAAATCAGAATAACATCATGAAATAATTCTCGCTCGAACCTTCGGAAATGAATCAGCTTTGCAGTGCCTTACCTGAGATAAAAAGTGGGCCGAATAGGAAAACATTCTAGCGCAATTTGGATCCTTTGCAGCACGTAGTGTATTTGCTAAGCGGCGATGGTATCAATGACTTTTAATTAGTTACTCACTTCCGATTGCGTGACCAGGCAATTATCGATTGTCTCCTGCGAAAAATAAGTGCACGGGAAACCAAAGCTTTCGGGATACAGTAAATTCATTTTCCTGTATGACCAGGTGTCCTTTTGTCCTATTTTAAAAGCGGTTAACTAAGATGATTAGCAAACATACTGTCCCACTTTTAAAAATGGTACAGTAACTGAATGTTCTGTTCTTCTGATTTTACCCCCAACCCCGGAGTGTTCAGAAGATATATTTGCACTACGCATGAAAGGCAAATGGATTAAATTTTAAGGTTCAAGGCGGTTTTAAGGCATGGGTTACCAGTGGACTAGTCAGACAGGTGCATTGAGCAGAAAATTACAGGCATGATATCTCTGCTATTGTATGTCCATTAAGTGATTTTCCACCAAACATTATTTTTTGACTTTTTTACCCCAAAAGTTTTTTCCGTTCAATTCTTATCTATGAGATCTAAACTTAGTTAAATTTCTGTAATTTGTTGTTAAATGCAATTCTGCAAACAACTAAGTATTTAATTTTGCGTAAAAGCTACATGAAATTGTACTGTTTAGCCGTAAATCATTAAAAAGAGAAAGCATCATGCTTTCTCTTTTCGAGTCTATTAGGACTTAATTAAGCAATGGCATTGCTTAAGTCCTAGTAGTTGTTCTCCATGTCTGCTAAGGAGGAAATAGTTTGCTCTTTTCAAGAAATTGTTCTTGCTCATCGCGATTTCAAACCAATGATAGCAGCAAGTCTGTCGTGGTCATATACTGCTACTTCAGTGCAAACGAAGCATAGGCGCACAAGTCAGCGCTTGCGTTTAGTCAGGTGCCGAAAATGAAGTGGAAACTTAACCCCAAGGGCGTCCATGTTCGCTCCGGCTCGAAAAGGTAGAATCAGTTGTGTAGTAAAAAGTAATGCGAAAAACCTGCGGGGGCTGGGGAAAGAAAGGCGTCTTATTTTTCTTTATACTGACAAGCTCAGTATACGTCTTCACCACCGAGAGTCACTTGCCCTTAGCCGGACACGCCCCTCACGTATCCTGTTTCGTTCCTAAAGTTATTTCAAAGCACAGAACCAAACCTAATCAGCGGCCGAAGGCAGAAAGGGGGATGAGCAAACGGATGTCACAGCATATTTTGCAAGAAACTGGTATCCTTGTGCCTATCGGCTCAGGAACGATTGATTATTACTAGAATTAATATCAGGGTCAGAATTTGAGTGCTACAATGGGAGGGAAGGAAGAAAAAGAAACCGCCGCGCACACCTGTTAAGTCTTTTATAAACTTTCTCGTCCTGAAGGTTTCAAAGAAGGGCGTTGTGGCTGCTATTTAATTTACAGTGTCTGTTGCAGGTGTCGAATTAATCTTACAGCAACTGGAAACGTGGCCACGCCTGCTGAAACTGAGATTGCTTGTAGGATGAACAACTATAGTTTGGTATATTCACGAGCGCGTTTTGTCCAGTTAACTGAGTGCGTAGTTTTTCTTAACGAAGGGATGGGCTGGGTCAAGTGAGTAGTTCGGGGAAAGTTTGCTCTCTTTAGGGGGTGGTTATATATTTGTTGATAGCAGGAGTTCTGGCCTGGATACAGTCGTTGTAAAGCTATTTTTGCTTCGGAGTATCGGCTTACCGGAAGCTGAGCAAGGAAAAGTTAATGGTGCATTTATGGAATAACAATACAGATTCTTATGGTCTTACAGTGCGAAGATTAGACTTCTGGTAAGGTGGCAACGATCAAGGCCCGCATTATAATTCATGATAATTGAAGGTCATGATGTGGAAAAAGCGACTGAAATGGTGGATGCCATGCAATCCTCTCGGGTGGGGGCTGCGTACCTGGGCTTAACGGTTGCCCCTACGACAGAAGGCAAGCATGCCCAGATTGTCCACGGGTTGCTAAATGAGACCGTCCCTTTCTTAGTACCCATTCCCTGTCTTATAATTAGACCCGGGCAAATTTCTTGAGATTGCACCATCATTTTGGGCTTAAAGCTTCCAAAGTCCAACAATAATAGCGCATGTTCGCGACGGTTTTTTAAGTCAGTCAAGTTCTTAAACCAGGCCTTAAACGGCCAGTTTTAAGTGTCGATAACAGTTAAAAAGGCATACAAGCCTCATGCAAAAGACAGTGGGAAGGAAGTGCACATCGGTGATGGGGAAAAAGGAGTAGCCCACAGTTATTTAG